TTCTGACATGGTCTTTTTTTTCTCTTCTGTCTTTGTAAGGACCGTTTGCACTGTTCCTGAATGATACATTTGACATCCTCCCACAACTCATCTGGTCTTCGCTCATTAGTGTTCAAGGCCTCCAACCTGGTCCTGAGATGTTTCTGAAATTCAGGTCGGATGAACACAAAGTCATATTTTGGTTCCCGTGGATTCAGTTTAATTTTCCTCAGCTTCAGCTTGAACTTGCATAGGAGTAGTTGGTGCTCTGTTCCACATCAGCTCCTGGCCTAGTTTTCACAGCTAATATTGAGCTTCTCCAGAGGTTCCTTCTGCAGATGTAATCAATATGATTTCTATGCATACCATCCAGTGAAATCCATGTGTATAACCTGTGTTTATGTTTCTTATAAAATGTATTCACAATGAATAAATCATTGATTGTGCAAAATTCAATCATTCTATCTCCAGCTTCATTTTTGTCACTTGAGTCCATGTTTTCCAACTACTGATTCTTCTTCTCTGTTCCCAGCTTTTCCATTCCAGTCACCCATTGTTATCAATGAGCCTTGATTGCATGTTCGATTGCTCTCCAACTGTAAAAGTTGATAGAAATAATCTATTTCTTCTTCTTTGGCTCTGGCTGTTGGTGCATATATCTGAATGATAGTAGTATTCACTGGACTTCTTTGTAAGCGTATAGGTATTATCCTATTACTCACAATGTTGTACTTTAAGATGGATCTAGAAATTACCTTTCTATCTATGAAAGCAACTCCATTTTTTCTCGCCTTTTCATCTCCTGAGTAGTATATGATCATCTGACTCAAAATGTTCCATGCCAGTCCATCTCATCTCTCCAATGCCTAGTATGTCAATATTTTGCGTTCCGTTTCTTTCTTAACAATATCTAATTTTCCTACATTCATGGTTCTCACATTCCATGTTCCAATCACTAGTGTCTGCTTACAACTGTTCCTCTTACTTTGTATTTCCATACTTGAAAGTTCTACCTCAGTTGTCCTCTCTGTTAGTCTGTGTGTGTTCTGTTGTACATAGGGTTTTCAGAGGCCTGCTATTTCCTTTTGTTGTTGTTGTTGTTGTTATGTGCCGTCGAGTCACTTGCAACTCATAGCGACCCTATCCTTCTTCCTAGTCTGTCTTAATCTGAATGTTCAGATTTAGAGGAGTATCTGACAGACAAGCAATTTCTAGGACAGTGAAAGATAAATCCCTCATTGTGGAGTTAACCATTAGTTACAGCATTGTCCCTGCCCTTGGCCCAGTGTCTTGACCCACTTAGTTCCCAGCTCCATCCTCCACCAGGATACCCCTTCACTTCTACCGAATCCCTTCAGCATTTATCTTCCATTGTCCAGCCCTTGATCTAACAGCTTGTATCTGAAGGTTTCTTGGCTTCTGTGATTCTAAACACATCAGCTGCTTGGGCAGGATCCTGTCATAGGTAAGCATTTTATAAGTATGAGGCTTATTATTTCAGTAAATTCCCCTATACTAATTCTATCTATGTTTATAATTCTGGACAATATGTAGCATTATATCAAGTCAATAAATGAATATATCATACTAAGGATGTGAATTTTTAATTTCCCCCCTTAGTTAGGGAGCCCTGGTGGCCTAGTGGCACGAAGCTGCACTGCAGTCCCGAAGGCATGAGGTTCAAGACAATGAACTGCTCCACAGGAGGATAGGCAGTCTCCTCCCATGCAATTAACTGCCTCTGAAAAGCCTCTGGAGGGTCAGCCATGGGTCTGTTTTAACTCGATGGTACACAACAACAACACAGCAACTCTATTATAGTTGTTTTATTAATATTCTTGTGTTTCTACATTATTTTTATAATTCATAGTGTTTTCAAGTCTATAACCTTTTAGAAGCCAGACTTATCATCCTAGGCACCACTAGGTGACTTTGAACTGCCAGTCTTTCTGTTAGGAATACTTAACCATTTATACCACCCAGGGACTCCATGTTACTAGGCACATGGTTTGAATCCACCACTGCTCTGTGGGAGATGGATGATCAGTCTTTTCCCATAAGATTTACTGCCTCTGAAAACTCGTTGGAGGGTCAGCTATAGGTCAGTTCTGACTCTAAAGCAAGCAACAACTATGTTATTATGCCAAGAGCCTAGACTAAGATCTTGTTTAAGTCTTTAGTATATACCACTCACCCAACCAATTAACAATTCCCATTAGCATTATTACTGCACATTTTAAAAAAAGAATAAGAGTTTCCTTTTAAATATTCGTGATTTACTTTATAAATGTTGACCTTGATTAAAGGAGATATGTAATCAGTTTAACAGATTAACACTCATCTTCAATTTTGCATATATTTTTTTAAATAATTAATGAATAATAATAGATTGTAAACTTTTACTGTTAACAAGATACAGGAATGAATGATAGAATGACAAGAAATATTTAGTTGACTACAACAAAAGCAGTTAGAAATAATGAATTATTTCTGGCATTTTAAAATTTGTGACAAACGGATTTTAACCGGTTTAGTTTGTATCACTGAGGGCAGTCCCTGAAAAGTAACCACTTAATCCCTTTATCAGTGTTAGAACAAATTACTAAAGTATCTAACCCTCTGAAGGCTTTGCCCTATTTATAAGTTGTAGTTATTGGCCTCTACCCAGATTCAGATGTTAGAGATTAGCCTAAAAGCTGAGTCCTGATTGAAACAGATTTAGGTAGGCTAACCGCTGAGCCTTTCCAATTCACAATGCTGTAATCTATTAGGTTTCTTTCAATGAGACATATGAGGATGCTATAATAAAAACCTTTGATAAAGGGTCCCTAGAGCCAAGGTGTATTCTTATGGCATCATGTTTCTCAGTCCAAAGGAGTTAAGAAAATACATCCAATCTCTCGTCAGACTTAGAACTGGTATTCCTGAATAAAGCTGCCCCATCAGGAAATTGAATGGCCTGTGGCCAGAGAAGGTATTGCTTTTCATTTAAATTCTTTGTTTTTATGAAAAGGCTCTTTGATTCTCAAAGTGGATTTGTTTCAAGGTAATGCAGTTTGAATTCACTCATGCTCAGAAGTCTCTGTGTTCCTTAACCTTCTGCAGTATGTGGTTTATAGGCAACTCACACCTGATGAAGTTGGATGCATCTGTCATAGGACATCAATAAAATAATCAGAACTTAGTTTCCAAAGGTCACTGTGTGTATCACATGTAATCTATAATTAATACCAATCATTATTTTCTAAGTGGTAGCTTCACCTGTTGGAAGAAAATATTTCAGAATACTTTTAAGAAAACAAATACATAGCTGTGAATTCAGGGTGAAGGGGTTCAGCTTCAGTAGCATTTGCCTGTTTCTAAGCTTTCATGGAGTTTAGATATGCTGCCATCAGGTGGTAGTAATATGTCATATCCATGTGCCTTCATAGATGACACACTGTGTGGTCAACAGTTTACTCCATAAAGACAAGTTTATTCCCTTGTCTATCATTTACAACCACGAATATACACATTTTTAGATGAAAATTTTAATAGCATAGCACATTTGTTTAGTATCAGAACAAAATATACTTTGAAGTTTTTTTAACAGATATCACTTGTAAAGATTTCATTGGCATTTCATTAAGTTCTTAATTTATCTTTTGTTTTTATTTGGTAATGGAAGTCTTTCCTCTTTAAAGCTAATAATGTGCTTTATAGAATTTTATAAAATCTAGGATAGTAAAAGAAATTTTAAAATTAATTTTATTTTCTTAAGATAATTCCTGTCAACCCTTTATATTCTTACAGTGTTTGGATTTAGTAACAACATTTTTGTGTATTTTTGTGTGCGGTAGAGTCAAATGGCAGGGAAAAGGTAACTAACTGTAGTAGTAGTAGTAATAGTAGACTCTGTGTGTGTAGCACTAAAATTGCAAACTCTTTGTAACTGTTTTGTGACTTCTTTAGTCTCTCATTGACTGAAATTTTACATAAAAGGTTTTAATCTCTATAGATAATATGCATTTCAGGTTTTCACAGTCATCAGAAGTATTTTATCTCTACATCCACTGCTTATCAAAAGAGCTGCTAATACACTGTACCTCTTTTTTGGTTTTTGTTCTGTTACATAAGAATTTCCAGTTAGTCTTTGAGTGAATTTTGCATTTGTTTATCACCAAAAATGTGAACTCTTAGTTATTAAATTCTGAAAGAAAATATAATCTCTTAAAAAATTCTTTGCCTTCAAGTTGAAAGCAGCTCATAGGTGACTCTCTGTTTAGTTAATCCTCTATACTTTTTGGTTCTTGTTCTAACACAAAAGAATTTCCTATTCGTCTTCCCATCGAGTCAGTTACAACTACCATTCATACCAAGTCTGTGAACAATGGCTCTGAATCTTGCTCTGTCCTAAGCCAACTTCACCATCTCTGACACTACTGCCACAGTCACTACTTCAATCCAACTCATCCAGGGTCATCCTCTCCTTTCCTGACCTTCTACCCAAGGACTGACTGGCCTCTCATGGCAACATAAATTAAAATATATATTTTTTATAAAATCTCCTTGCCTTCAATTCTGAAACAACAAATAACTGATCCCTCTATTTAGGTTTCTACACAAAAGGTTGCCCATCTTTCTTCCACCAAATGACTGGTGGATTCAAATCACCAGATAGCCATGATCCTTGGGTTAGCAGTGCAACTCCCTAGGGACTAGGCTGCCTCTGCTGTCAAGTTGATTCCCAGTCATGGCAACTCTCCTTCAGATCTCCAAGGTTCTCAATCTTAGGAGGAGAAGACTCCTTCCTCTCCCATGAAATGTCTGATCGGTTCAAACTACTAACCATTCAGTTAGTAGCTCAACACTTAAACCTACTATTCCACCAACACTACTTGGGTAATTTCTTAGTTACTGTTTTATAACTTTGTAAATTGCATGCAAACAGATGCCTCCTACAAACATTTCTGTGCCTATGGAGTAATGAAATGTAGTCACACCTATCTCCTAAAATGTTTTTTTCTTTTCTTTTTTTCTAGCATTGAATATTGCATTAAAGAAATACAATCAGAAGTTAACAGACAATGTCCAGATGCACAGCTTCAAACAACAACTGACTGCTTTGAATGGCTTAATAACTATAGTTATAATTCATCTAAGTCACCTTCCATTCCCCATGGAGAGTTGATAAAATTCCTCAAAACAATGGTAAAAACAAAAATCACTTTGCATCATGGTGACATGGCGTGGGTGAAGAGCGTATACACTCCTTCATTTTCTAATTGTGCAAATATATTTTAGTGATGATGTTACTCTGTAATACATAGTTTAGAGCTTTTACTTTCATCTCTCTAATAGAATACAATGAACTATTTGTAGCTATTACTCTTATTCTAAAATGAAGTTTTATGTAAGTGTAGATTAACCATTATAATCCCTGAGTGTTTTGTGGTTTGAGGTATACCCTATCAGTAGTATAAAATTTGTTGATTTATTACCACAAAATACCTCAAAACTTGATGGAAGAGGTTACAACACTTTTTTTTTTTTTCAGTTTCTTCCTTTATCATTTAATCAGTGCTGTCAGGATTTCAAAGCTAAATCTTCTTCTTTGTTTTTTTTTTTAAATTAGTTTTATTCAGGGCTGTGACAATCACTGTTTTCCTCATTCACTTTCTTACAGGTTGAGTTGCATGCAAATTAAGTTTCTATTTCAATTGTTCCACAAAATGACCAACCAGTCATTCACACATGAAGCAAATACCTCTGATGAAGTTAGCATTTAAAGAAACTGTACATAGTCTCATATTTTAAATGTTGGTACAATTTTCTCTACTTCAACCATCCAATAGAATTTCTTCCATCATTTACAGACAAGTTTCTATGTACTACTTTTTGTGTCTTTTCACATTTGTTCACTTTCTCTATGCTCATTATTCTTCATATTAAGATTTCCATCAATTTTGCCTGTGGGTTGTCTGTCTTTGTTGGCCTTTCCAAGTTTCAGCCCTACTGGTGTTTTTCAATTAAGGCAATAATTTATATAAGTTGATTGATGGAGAATTATTATATTGGTCATCATTTGATACTTTCTACCCCTTTTGTTAAAGATATCTTTGTAGTTTTTAAAAGCAACATTTATTTTAAGATGGATATATGTATATGTATATGTGTATATATGACTGTGTTTGCAAAAACAGATTCCCAGAGAAACAGAGTAATTGTTAGAAAGAAGTATTTCTATAGTCAAATAGATATGGTTCTAATTTAACTTATGGGGAAAAAGGCATCGTTTTTGTCTAAACATCAAACATGGAGTAAGGCAGATGTGGAAAATATCTTGAGGTTGTAAGATGGCTTAGGATGACAGAATCAGATGAAAATAGTTTTTGGCTGTTGTTATTATTACAGATGTCTCTTTAATGTTTACAAATTAATAAAAGGAAGAGAAAGGATGACTATGTGCCCTGAAGCCTTATTCTTTTAAGAAAATCCTCTCACCCATTATCTCCTGAAGGTGGAGTTGAAGAATAAATATGGATTCATTTATTCCTTAATTTCTATTAAAAACCATGTGTGTTGAATTTCATTAATATTGATGTAATAATGCTTTCTCATTTAATTAATAGCAAAAGCTTTTGATTATCTTTTAATCTGTCACACGTAAGTCATCCTGTATTCACTTCAGGGCAGGGGAGAGACAACTTAGTTTTGCTAAAAAATTCATTAGACTGGTAGGTTTGTTCCAGGCTTAGGTTTTTGTTGTGTTTTACTTTGTGCCTTTTTAGTTTGTTTGGGGGGTTTTTGGTGTTTTGTTTTTAAACAAAGTTGGTCATGTTACTTTTTAGGAAGAAATCAGATCTAGATGAAAAGAATTTTATTATCAATTTTTTTACCTCCTAAAAATTGTAAGAATATTTTTCATACATATATTTTTTATTTCCATAAAGGTTCCCCCCCCTCTATTAATTATTTGGTTATTTAAATAAGAAACAGAAGTCTTAATTTTACTGATTATACTGACATCATTTTCAAAACTTAAGCAATCATACCTTGCATGTTTTAAACCTCTGTTAGCTATTAGTCTTTGATGAGAAATTTATAGTTAGTCCTGATTTCAATAAATGCAAGGCTAAGGGACTAGTATTCATTTGTTTTACAGAATTTATCGTAATGGTTACCTATTTTGGACCTGAGGACATTTTGTTTCTATAAATATCAACATAACTAAATAAATTAGATCAAGAAAGAGCCATATAGACAGAGACTGAATTGAGAATGGAAATATAGAAGGAGAAAAAGAGAAACCAGCTAGAGAGAGGTCATATATGTATTTCTCGGGTATATTAGTAAGAACTAGGTCTAGAAGAATGAAGCCAGGACTCATTCTTGGTTGTTTCTTATTGTTATGTGACTTTTGGGAAGTTATTAAGGCATGATTAATGTTAATACACCTATTTTTAAATTGGAGATGTAATTATTTGTATCACAGAATTTTTATTTATAAATCAGAAATGTATGGAAAATTTATCCTTATATAATAAAATACTATGTAGATATTAAATATTATTTATTATAGACACAACATTAAATTAGACATTAAATGCTTAAAATGGTAGAGAAAAAATTCTTGGAATTTATCTAGTTCTTAATTCTGAATCACACTTTATTATGGTATACTTGTCAGTAAGAAATTTCAAAGCCGGGCTGATTTTATGTCACTTGAAACTTTCTTCCATTTCTCCTATAATCAGCTTGCTTCTACTCTGAGAATATGAACTAATTTTAATATTAGTTGAAATAAACATAATTAGGAAAGTCAGCATGGGAGGGGATTGTGCATGTGTACCTAATTCAAACTCCAGGAAGGTTAATTTTTTGCTCATTTACTATTCTTAATTAAACCCACCATGGTTTTCTCCCACTTATCACAGAAAGTGTAAAGGAATAATTTCATACCATCTTTTGGGGAATAATTCTGAGATTATTTTTTTCCCATTTTGAGTTACTTATTTCTTTAGAGAGAACTGAAATATTCTCAGATTAATTTTCAAAGTAAGATCTTTCTTAACGTGATTCTTAAAAAGGCATTTAAATGAAAGTTAAAAATCTTTAAACATATTGAAGTTTATTTCTCAGGAAGGCAGTTATTTGTAACCCCTAGGTATCTTCGATATTTAAAAGTCTCCATTCTATTTTTAATGATTTTGAAAACATTGTATGAGATTTTATAATGATAAATGTACCAATTCAGAGATGATTATTATCTACCAGGAATTAATTAGGGGCATGATCCTGAATGTATTTTGGATAAATTCAAACACATTTCAATTATATTTTTATAAAAATTTTAATTTAGAATTTTTGAGCTACAGCTTTCATTCAGTTCAGGTTATGTTGTGTGTGGGTGGGTAAGGTAGAATGTAAAAATTGTCTCTCTAGAAATCCAAGTAAAGGATACTTCATCAACCAGGCTTACAAAGTTTAACCGGCCACAATGTTGACTTTCTAAAACATTTCAATTGGTTTTATTTCTAATGAGGAAAATAAAAAATCCTTTGAAAAGCATAGAGGTATTGGTTCTAAGTTGAAAATATTATTTGTGAGCATAGGAAATTTTTTCTGTTACTCTTAATTTTAACCATATTACTAATATTATAATTTACTTTTATTAGCATGATTTCTTGAAGAACAAGCAAAATCAAGAAGAAATGATACTGGATTTACTCTGGGACCTCTCCTGTCAGAGCAGCATTTCGTTACCGTCTTCTCTAAGTGGAACATCTTTCCATTTCCTCTCCAGAACTTCTCTTCATTCTGTTGAAGATCAGTCCTCAGTGGATATAAAGGCTATATGGGATAATATAAGATTGCATCTTAGACGCTTCTTAGTCAACAAATTACAAAGTCATAATGAAATAGCAGAAAATTCACAGCAGAAAATTGTATTGAAAACTCAGTGCATAAGGCAACTCTTGTTCCTTTATCCAGAGTCAGAAGTTACACTCAAGTACCAGAACATACAGAATAAACTTTTGGCTGAATTTCTGCAAAACAGCTTTCCCTCTTATAGAAGAGAATCAAATTTAGACATAATGGTTCATGGATACCAAAGTGCAATGCTTAATTTGTACTCAATGATCAAAGAGGATTTTAACACACTTCATGAAATTTTAGCTCCATCTTCAACAGTGAAATTCATTAAAGAAACCTACCTGAATACCATTGCAGAAGAAATGGCAAAATTCCTTGAAAAATTTTGTGAGCTGCAGTTCAAAGAAAATGCTGTTCGTGTGGTTAAGACAACCAAGAGCTCCAGCAAGCATAGAGGAGCAGTGCATGCTTTGGGTTAGTGACATTTACAATTTGTTTGATTTAACCTAAGCTTTTGATATCTTATATTTTCTAAGATTTTTCTATTTGGTTAAACTGCCTTGCAAACTTTAAAATAAATGTTATAAAAAGTTACATGCTTCTTTTCTACATTCTTTTTCTGTACACATAGTAATAGAAGTACTTTTTTCCCTTTTGACTAATTAAAGATACAGTAAAGTAATGGTAAAACATTTCCATAATATTTAACCCATGTGTCCTCTGAAGCTCAACTATTATTTGGTAAAAAGTATTATTGAACTTTTTTAATATTTATATTAGCTAAAATTGAAAGTTTCAGATTATATTTTGATCAAGCAATTTCAGTGAGGAACAATTTTAAAAGATTAATTCTAAAACTTCATTGTAACTGATTAGGAAAGTACACTATTTTAACTAATTTTTAATATTCCTCTAATTTTTTTTCTGTGTTGTTGTTGTTGTTGTTTGCCTTTGAGTCATAGCAACCCTATAAACAGAAGGCCTGAAGCCCTTCTACAACTCTCGACATTTTTGTACAAATGTATAAAACAGAAGATGCTTTGAAAAGGACCAATTTTATTTAGATAATAAAGAAAGAAGGGAAAGACATTCTTGTGAGATAATAAACTTTTTCCTGTCATGGTTTAGTGCCCTATTAGTGAGGAGAAATCAAGGTTAAAAAAATGTTACTTTGCATAAAATTCTGAGAGATATTTCTAAATAGATTTGTAAGTGACATTGTTAAGTAAGTGTTTGAAAATTATCATTTTCTGAATTATTATGGATCTCTGGATTTATGATCTTTTAAAACTAATTTCCACAGCTCACTATGTTTTTACTTCTTTAATAAAATGTTAGAGTATCAAATTAGTATACTAGATAAGTTTTCAAGTATTTTACTGGGTTGTTCTTTTTTATATTCTAGTAACTATATCATGTCACAGAACAGAGATATATCAGCCAGGTTTTGGTTATGGCAGAATGTAAAATCATTCAGTTTAGTAACATTATAATTGTGTTTAAAGCTAATAGACTTTCATTTTAATTGTTAGCACATAAAATTTTAAATGCATTTGAAACTGCATTTGTTTTCTAAATTTTTATATTCTCTAAATAAATTCTGACTTATAAAGTGGTTTAAGTATGAAAGTTTTCTGTGTGCTAAATATAGTTTATAACAGAAGAAAAAAATCCATATGGTTGAAAATATGTGTAAGTTGCTATGGAGTCTTTAGAGCTGATATTGAGGTGTTTTCCCATTCGTGAGAGAAAACTAAGCATGTTGACTTTACACCAGAATTTTTCCATATTTTCCACAAGACTAAATGAACTGATCTTTTTCTAACTTTTTATCTGAACTATAGAAGAAACCACATGTTAACTGTGTGTTTTCCGTTTGCCAAACTTTGTGCTAAGTGCAAGAGCCCTTGTACAGTGATTAATATGCCCATTAGACAACCAAAAGGTTGAGAGTTCAAATCTACAGGAGAAAGATGTGACAATCTATTTTCATAAAGATATACCCTCAGGCAGTTCTGTTATGTCCTATAGGGTTTCTATGAGTTAGAATCAACTCAACAGCAGTAGGTTTGGCTGGTGTTAAGTAGTGCTGTAAGCAAGAAAATGAAAGTTTAAATTAAGTAGCTTTCACGTGATCATGTGTGCAGTCACAATTCATGTTCAGAGTCAAAACTTAGATGTTAGTCTTTCAGAAAACAGATACATGCACTTAACCATTGTGCTATTATTATTGTTGGACTTTATTTCAAAGTATAAAATGCTTTGTCTAGTTAAAGAAATTTCAAATGGTATTAAAGTTAGCTGCCTATAAAGCAATTTAATTCAGCATTATTAAGCAGCTCCCTTGAGCAAACTGATTTTGGGTGGCATAAATAGTTCAGTATTTGACTGATAGACAAAAGGTGGGGAATTTGAAACCATGTTTTATCCACATTTTAAGAGAACTAATGTCTGTTATTTTTATATTGTAGCATTTTACTATATCTGTATTTAGCATGGTTAAATGATTAAACTAATCTTACTGTTAACATTATATATCCTTTGGACTTAACAAAAGTTACTTTTCTCATTATCTAAAAAATAAAAAATTATTTGTGGTGAATTTCAACTAAATAAATCTTTGTCTTTTAATGGGGAAAAATATTATGAGGAGAGGAGAGTCAATCACAAGGTGAATTTTTATGGTCCCTGTCAATCTTAACGTGAATTTTTCTTACAACTATTAGCTTGAATGAGTACAACTTAAGAGAATCTGATACATGTCTTTGACAATTTAGAAGGTTTTAAAAAAATCTGTAGTGAGTGAAAAGTTTGAGTTTGATCTGATGTTCTTCAAAGATCCTTCTCTTGTAAAATCCTTTTTTATTTTATTTAAGGAAGTTAATGATGAGTTCAACTATCACAGCAAATGGAAAGATTAGGCCATGGCTTCTATGTAATGTCACCATCAGTCAAGACCAACTTAATGACCTGTGACAACAAAACAAGGGATGGAGGGGAAAAGACCCTTTGTGGTAAAAAGGCCCTCAAATCAATCTTTTCTCCTTCTCTTATGATGCCTGTTGACCATGCGTATTGACGCAGTAGTAAGGATTTTTATTTTGTTGATGTTGAGATACGATCCATATGGAAGACTCCAGTCCTTGATCTTCTGCAGCAAATGCTTTCAGTTTCAGTGAGCAAGGTTGTGTCATCAGCATAATGAAGGTTGAATCTTCCTTCCTCCAATCCTGAAGCTATATTCTTCATGAAGTCCAGCCTCTCAAATGATCTGTTCAGCAAATAGATTGAAAAGTTAAAGAGAAAGAATACATCCCTCTGATGCATTCCTTTCTTGATTTTGAACCATGTAGTGTCCCCTTGCTCTGTTTGGACGATGGCATCTTGGTCTAGGTATAGGTTTCACATAAGCACAATCAAGTATTCTGGGATTCTCTGTCTTCTCAATATTTGCCACCATTTGTTGTGATCCACACAGTCAAATGCCCATGCATAGTTAATAAAATACAAATAGACATTCTTTTGGTTCTCTCTGCTTTCAGCCAAGATGCATCTCTAGTACCATGGCCTCTTCTAAATCCAGCTTGTATTTCTTTTTTTTTTTTAATTCTATTATTTGTGTGTGTGTGTGTACCATCAGATCAGATCTGACTGGTACAGGAGATTGTCCCTCCTTCTCCAGCAGAGCATCTAGTGGATTCAAACCATACGCCTCTGGGATTGCAGTGTGGCTTCTTGCCACTAGGCCACCAGAGCTCCCTCCAGCTTGTATTTCTAATGGTTCTCTGTTGATGTACTTCTCTAGTTATTTTGGGGTAATCTTCCACAATTTTGCTTTCATATGTTGTTAGTCATATTGTTCAATTTCTACATGCTTTGTTGGGAATGGAAATAATTATGACTCTCATCTGATCGATACTCGATTATATGAATGTCCTAAAAAATTTCAGTGTCAGCCAATTCTTTTTGGTACATTAACTCCCTGTATTCCTTCCATCTTCTTTTGAGCTTCCTGAATCATTCCAGATTTTGCCCATAGCATCTTTAAGTATTGTCACTTGTGGCTTGAATTTGTTTTTCAGTTCCTTCAGCTTGGGAAATATAAAGTGAGTTCTTATTTCCTGATGCCAACTCTTTGCATAGTTCATCAAACTACCTTGCTTTATTTTCACCAACGACCCTTTAAAATCTTTTATTAAACATGAAATTCCTGTTTTCTTCTCTTTGTTTTGGCTTGATGTTCAAGTGCAATATTCAGATTCTCTTCTGAGATCCATTTTGGTATTTTATTCCTCCTCTGTCTTTGTGATGACCTTTTGCTTTATTTATGGATGACATCCTTGATAACATCCCACAGCTCATCAGGTCTTTGTTCTAGTGTTCAGTGCCTCAGACTTGGTCTTGAGATGATATAATTTTGACTAATGAGGTACATATCAAAATTTGAAAGGAAGCCTGTCAAGGGTCACCTTGATCATGTTCCTACTTCTCTTAGCAGCCGTCCCTCCTGTACAGTGTCAGCAGAATAAACATGTATGTGTAAATGGTATAAACATGGAGGCATTAGTCTGCCTAAGTGTTCATATTCTGGAATGTAAAGAAAGCAGCCCAATGTGCAAATGCTTACAGAAAAAAAATATGTTATTTGAGAAAAGATCCTTGAAGACATTTCAAGGACTTGTAAAAGTTGGCCATCTCCTCATCATCTTGCATTTTTGTATACCTCAGACAGATGTAAAGATTTCCATTAGATCATTGATGACCTTCTCTGTGTTATTTCCTGATGCCACACTAGAAAAAAGCCCAGTATCTCATGTTATGTAAAACAGTAAATGAAAAAAAAAATGTAGAAAACAATTCCTTTCTTCATTTAGCACAAGGTCCTTTAGAACAATATCTATTCTTTTGCTGTACCACTGGTAAAACTACTAACAAATGAAACTGTTGATCAGCTTTTTTTCTGCTACTTTATTATAGGAGAAATATATTTTGTTCATTTTCTTTTGGAGATTACTAGTGTTGTGTTCTGTAGGGAGTTACACTGAGACCCAAAGGCACCACCCCTCTGGCAATTCAAATCCCTTAGTGACTCCTTGGGAGAAAGATGAGTGGCTTCTTCTGCAGGGTCACCTCTGAGGCGTGTCTGACTTGACAATCAGGAGTTTGTTGTTTTTTCATAACAGTTCCTATTTCTAATAAATACTTGGACATTCCTTGTTTATAGTTATTTTGCTCTTAGAAGAATATGAAAAGTGTACTTGATTGTGAGTCAAGTGTGCTACTGGTCTTGACATGCCTGTCACCTTCAACTAGTCATCTAACTTATGGAACTGTTTTCAATTATAAACAAAAGGATTGTATTAAGTATTATGTAAAGTGTTTGTTGACCTTGAGGAAGTCTTTGGTTGAGTAAAGGTCAACTAACAGAATGGTTTGAAACCCAGAGGCTCCTTTACAGAAAGGCCTGACAGAGCTCAGT